AAAGACCCTGAAACTGCAAACCCTGTGCCAGGTCTTCTTCATCCTCGTCTTCTCGGAAAAAACCTTAAAAATGTAGAAAAAATATTTTTTTTGTGTTTTAAAGTTTTTAAAAAATTTTAAAAGTTGTTTAAAGTCTTTAAAAGTCTTTCAAAGTCTTTTTAAAGTTTGTAAAAGCTTTTAAAAGCTTTTAAAAGTCTTTTAAAGTCTTTTTAAAGCTTTTAAATGTATTTTAATGTTTTTAAAAGTCTTTTAAATATTTTAAAAGCCTTTTAAAGTTTTGAAAAGTCTTTTAATTTAAAGTTTGCAAAAGTCTTCTAAAAGTTTCTAAAAGTCTTTTAAAGTTTTTAAAAGTTTTTAGAATGTTTTTTCTTGCATTTTAAAATTTTTAAAAGTCTGTAAAAGTCTTTAAAAGCCAACTCTGTCGAAAAAGCCCTGTGGATCTAAACCTTGTGGTTCTGGTTCGGTGCAAAAGGGCAATGAGAATCTGAGTATCCGTCTGTCTTTTGCCTGAGGCTGCTTTCAGCTTTGGCAAATCACATCCAGGTCTCCTTGGCGGGTCCATCGCCGCAGCAATCTGTGCCTTTCCATAGCAAAAGCACCCGCGTGGCTTTGGGTCTTCAGCCGCGTGAACCCCTCCTTCGGGCCTTTGGTCGCGGAATTTTCACACTTTCTGTCGTGCTTTTGCCCTCCGAGTAAGCCGCAGCTCTTGCTGGACTTTTTGGCCAAGCAGCCTAAGGGTTCTCGCGTCGTTCGTCGCTTTGTTTTGGGATGGGGGGAAGTCTTGCATTCACTTGAACTGTGCGAGCACCCGATTTTCCTTGAAGTCCCAGATCCGAGGACTGATCAGGTCGCAGCAAACGGCACTCAGGTGGAGCTTGTGACGATTGGCGTTCCTTGTGAGCCTTCCGAGTTCATTCGAAGGGCTTTGATCACGGGGCACCCCAGGAGCTTCGAGTTCCATCTTGAACCCGAAATAGATGAAGCGATTCATTCGAACTTTGTTGGAAATCCTGGTGACTTAGCCCGTGCCCGAATCGACTTTGTCAGGAAGTGGAGTGCGAGAGCTAAGGAGCTTCAACCTGAGGAGGATAAGCTGCATTCCGCCATGCCTGGCTACCTGGCACAGGTGTTGCATGGCAAACGCCTTCTCCTGTTTAAGGAAATGATGCAAGCGGCCGGATGTAGCGACGAGCACCTTTTCAGGGATGTTGTGTTTGGCTTTCGCATATCCGGCTGGATGCCGGCCACCGGCAACTCCGGACCTAAGGTCGGAGCACCAAGGATGTCAGTGGACACTCTCAAATTGCTTGCCCCTGGATTGAACAAGACCGTGGTGTCCAAGCTTGCACGTCGCCAGGACCCAGATCTTGAGGCATCAGTGTGGCAAGAAACACAGAAGGAGATAGACTTAGGTTGGGTATGGGTTTCGACCGAGATCTCTCTCTGTAGCATTGTCATGCGATTTGGTATTGTTCAGAACGGAAAGGTTCGCCTGATTGATGACTGTACCATCTCGTGCCTCAACTTGACGGTTGGGCTTTGCGAAAGGTTCGAGCTACACACAATCGATAAGCTTGCTGCGATCCTGTCGTGTGCGCTTGAGAGGTCTCCTGCCGCAAGCTTGACAGGCTGGGTTGGGAGAAATTACGATCTTAAGTCCGCGTACAAACAGTACGGTGTACACCCAGTTGATCGCGCCTTGGTGAGACTGGCAGTCAATAAACCAGGGGAGGAAGAGCCACTTCTTCTGGGTCTGAACGCACTGCCGTTCGGATCTGTAGCATCAGTGAGCGCGTTCCTGCGTGTATCCTTTGCCATCTGGAAGATAGGGGTTGTTCTGGCAAAGATAGTGTGGACTGCGTATTTTGACGATTTTACGAATGTTTGCAGGAACATCTTGAATGACAACACTGCGTGGGTCATCGAGTGCTTGTTTGATCTGTTAGGGGTTCGCTTCGACAGGTCAGGTAAGAAAGCGATTGATCATGCAACCTCCTTTGCAACTCTCGGTTTGCAGGTGGACCTTTCAAATACGGAGGATCGTGTGATTCTTGTCGGCCACACCGACAAGCGGCGCGACGAGCTGTGCACTGCACTCAACGAAGTTCTTGAAAGGGGCGAGATGGAGCCCAGGCCTTTTGAGAGGCTGAAGGGGCGCATGGTTTTCTTCGAAGGTTACAGCTTCGGAAGAGTGAGCAACCAAGCTGTCAGGACTTTGTCGAGGGCTTGCAAACACATGAATTCGGCCGTTCCCTTGAATGCTCTACACAGGTCTGCATTGCATTTCTTGATCGAACGAACTAAGTCTGCTGAGCCCTTGAGGGTTCAGCCGTGCCTCCGGGCAACTTGGATTCCCTTCACGGACGGAGCTTGTGAGGCTGAGAAATCTTGGGGTGGCATCGGAGGTGTTCTCTTTGCCCCGAATGGCAGCTGTGCTGGCTACTTCGGCGAGTCGGTCCCAGACGATCTCATGAAACAACTCCTGTCCTTTTCGAAGAACCCAATCTTCGAGCTTGAGATTGCTCCAATCTTGATTGCATATGAACTGTGGAAGGGTCTTATATATCCAGGGAGCACAACTTGTGCGCTATCTTGATAACGAGGGAGCGCGCTACTCTTGCATCCGTTGCTTTGCAGATACCTCGAGTGTCGCTGATGATTGGGTGCGAGGCATCCTTCACCTTGAATCTCAAGCGCGTGTGAACGTGTGGTACGGCCGCGTACCCACTTCATCGAACATTATGCCGATGGACCATCTCGGCTTGTGTTCACAGAGGTGCAGAGGCTTTGCAGGTACAGGTCGCGTCCGACTTGGGCCACTCTCCTTTCAAGAAGGGGGTGACTCCAGGGATCGTGGCATCCCCAATGCGGAAAATGAAGACCTGCGTTAGCCTCTGCTTGATTCGAATATTTGATAGTTTATACTTGACAAGATATATTCGAATGTTGGCATTCGATAGTTTCGATTCTGATTTGAAATTTGTTCACAATCATATAATGATTGTACATGTCACGGTCCACAACAGAGAATAAGTACATCCTCCCGGAGGGATGATCACTTTATTCTTTTTGTGGAAATTTTCCTTTGGAAAATTAGTGGCATGTTTTTCCCATCATGTTTTTGCCTTTGATTCACTGCCAAATTGTTAAATATCACTTGTTGCAATAGTTTGCTATTGGACAGTTGTGATCTTTTATATCCCTCGCTCGCCTCGAAGCGGAGGGTGGGTGGGAAAGCAATAGAGAATAAGCTCCTCTGCACGAAAGAAAACCCCATCAAGTTTCCTGCACATGCCTGGCATATGACCGAATCCTTTTCCGGAGAGCGATGGGTCTTGACTGCCTTCTCCATGTCAAGTTGCGATAATGTCCTGCTGGCCACGCTTGATTTTCCCGTCACATCTTCTCCGCCTCAGGTGCCATCTTCGGGCCCTCCGAAGCTGCAGCGAGCCGAGCCGTCACAAGATCATTCCGGGTCAGGCGTAAATTGGGGTCAACCTTCGGCTTTTGGGTTTAGACACCATTCCCTAAAACCGCCCCTGCCTTCCCCTGCCCCGGGTCGTTCTTCGGCCGCACTCGATGCTCTAGCGAACATCCCTCAGCGTTTTTTCCTGGACATTTGCTCGGGTGTGGCCAAACCACTTTCAAGTGCTGTGGAAGCATCTGGCCTCGCTACGCTCTCAATTGACATTCTGTTGGATCCCTCATTGGATTTGCTTCGGGATGACTTCTTTGAGCAGCTCTTGTTCATTTGTGGTTCAGGCGCAGTCGGCTACTGCGCCGCAGCTCCTAGCTGCTCGCATTACTCGCGCTTGAAGCTTTCAGGTGGCCCACCATTTCCGATTCGCACCCCAGAACACTTGGATGGCGTACCTGGCTTGGGTCCTTCGGATCTCGCTAAACTTCAGGAGAGCAAAAAAATCTTGTCTCGTTGCTGCAAATGTGTGTCCATAGTTTATTCAGCAGGAGGCCATGGTCACGTTGAACAACCTGCAGGTGCAATGTCCTGGGAAGAAGCTTGCTTACAGTCCTGGCTTCATGAATGCTCAGCCTCTCTTATCTGGGTGGCAGCTTGTGGCTAATGGCCTCCCTTGGGCGAAAACATGGTTGTTCGCTTCCAGCTATGCCCCCTTGCGCAACATTGGCTGTGTCTGCGAGCATGGGCGCGAGGCACATCCTGTCATGCGCGGTGTTGATAGCTCTGGGTTGTTTAAAAATAGAATGACAGCACAGTATCCGGAAGCGCTTGCTACAACTTTCGCAGCTCAGATAAGAGTGCTCCGCTCCTGGACAAATCAGGCCCCCCATTGTCTTTGCGAGAGGCCCTCACATTGGTTCCGCCCATGGATCAGATGCCACGGGCAGTCCACGATGGGGCAGGTCGTCACTCGCATGCTGACTGGAGTGCACCTTGCACGCCAGACTTTCTGCGTAATCTGCGATCTTTTTTGCTTAAGGTTACTGCATCCATGTGCGGCCCATCCCGCCTTCTTCAGCGCCGCAATGAGCCCAGCAAAGAACCTCTTTTCTCGGCTTCAGAGGTTGCTTCGGTTAGGGAGGGTTTCTTCTCAGCACTGGGCGTCCCGGCTCCAGCCAATGCTTGGTCGCAGCGGGCACATCAGCCTCTCTGCTTAAATGCTTTAGAGGCTGTTGCTCAGGTGTGTTTAGATCCAGATACCACATTGTTCCCAGCCTTGAAAGCTGGAGTTCAGACGGGATTTCAGGCGGACATCCCGCCCTCAAATTGCTTTTGGCCCAACATTCGTGAATCCCTGCTTTACTGGGCTAGCCCAGTTGAACTGTTGAAACCTTCGAAGTTTGGGCGGCCGGGCGGGAAAAGATGATTTTAGTTTTGAGTTTTCAAGTATTCGTTTTTTAGTCCTCAGTTTCTCAGTATGTTTCAGCTCCTTTCAGTTTTCAGTGAGAATCCATCTTTTCGTGATGTTTAGGCTCAGTTTTAGTTTTTGGTAGTGTGGGGCAAAGGCTCCATTCGGACGTAGATGTCATGGCCGGAGCTGCAAGGGCAGGAGCTTGCACTCCTTAAAGGGGCATTCGCGAACCCCAGGCAATTGCACGCAGCCTTTGATAGTCGCGAGGAGGCGGCTGAACTAATAGAGGTGTTCTTGCCAGGCATCAACAGAGATGGGAAATATCAGAGAGCTGACGTTCTTGTGGCATGGGCACAGGAAAATGAGTCAGCAATCAAGCGGCAGCGAAGGGAGTCATTGCATGGTATGTGGGAGGTGCTACCACAGCAACGTGTGGTGCCGAAGCTGACGGACACATTTGATGAGCTGGCAAGGAGCAACCCACTTGTCCTGCTGCCGGCGCTGCAGCGGAAGAGGCGCATGCTTAGAGAAAATACAGACGCTACACAGCGCGCAAAGGAGGAACAGCTGGCAAAGAAGAAGTATGCCTTACAATTGGCCGAGATACTTAAGGAAGCGAAGTTGCCGTTGGTGCAACAGCTGGAGGGAGTGGACCAGCCTGAGGAAGTTTGGCCACGGATATTTGGAACCCGCAGGAGCAAAACGCTGCGAAACCGCTTAAAGGCTTGGCAACCCTTCAGGACGTGGCTGCAGTGCGTCTATGAGGTGCAATGGCCGACTAGCGTGCGGCAGCTGATTGATTATAGCAATGAGAGATTTCAAAGTGAGTGTGGCAAGACAGTGCTGAACAGTTTCCAGGCGTCGCTGGCTGTCTTGGAGCAAGTGGGAAAGGTCGCTGAGACACAGCGGCTGTCGAGCGATACAACATGGCTGGCACACTTGAAGTCGTTGACTGCAGATTTGGTGGGTGAGCAAGCGCCCGTACAGCAAGCACCAATGATGACGGTAGCTATGATCATTTCACTTGAGCTGCACATTGCGAGGGAGGATGAGCCTGAGTATATACGGGCAATGGCATTCGTTGCGCTGCTGGCTGTGTATGGTTCCATGAGAATGGACGACTTGCAAGGGATGCTGCCGGCTACCATGCGGCTTACTGCACAGGGCTTCAGAGCTACGCTTGGACGCACCAAGACAACAGGCGCCGATCGGCGCAACAAGGAGGTCACAGTCTTCATACACAGGCAGGCGGGTTTGTCCGGCTTTCATTGGTTAGGTGAGGGCTTCGCGCTTTGGAAGAAGTATACACAGCCGAGAGACTACCCAGTCACTAGTCATGACTGCCAGGGACGATTGGAAAGGGCCAACTAAGCACTTCGCTAAGACCGAAGTAGTTGCTGGCTATGTGCGTGAGGTTTTCAAGAGGCTTGCAACGCCGAAGTTTGAGGATGGGGCATACCGCCTCAACGTGCAGAGATACCTCTTGGTGGAAGGGGCGCAAGGCTTCTTCACGGGGCATAGCCCACGCAATTGGCTTACTTCAGCTGCCGCAGTGTTGGGTTGGTCTAAGGATCAGAGGGACTTCTTGGGTCGTTGGCTTATCGGTGGTTCTGGTTCAGCTGACTACACGCGCACTGCCCGGGAAGTCGTGCATCGCATTCAGATCGGAGTCTGCAAAGCAATTGTCACCGGCCAAGGTGGCGAGTATCAAGAGATCGAGGCCCTCGAAGAGTTAAAGGCATATGTAGACGAGCGTGGAGGTTCAGGTGCATTGGCAAGGAGGCGGCATGACGCTTCTACTCATGCTCGCATGATTTCGCTTTACGATTTGTAGGCGCTTGAGGTTTTTCTCTGGAAGTGCAGAAAAACTGCTGATTTTGGATTTCCGGCATTACTTGAAAGATGTTTCACGTTTCACATGCCGCACGCTGTTTGAACCATGTTATGTTGCAAAGTCTTGGCTCAGAGTGGAGCTCAAGACTGAGAATTTTGTTTTAGGGGCCTCTCTAGAGATTCCTTTGTGCATCTAGAAGGCTCCTGGTCCCTGGTAAACCGAGGTTTGCCCTTAGGGCGTGTGCAAGCCGGCCTATTGCGGGGCCGGCGGATGGACTTCGCAAGTGCGTCCGGCACTGGGTGATGTCGGGGCGCCGTAGTGCTAAAAGGGGTGCCCAGGGTGCCCCGGATCACGCATCTGCCTTTGATCTTCATCTCTTGAGTGCCCTTAGAGACACCCCAGCTACTCACTTCTCAGTCAGGCAGCCGTGGGATGCCAGCATTTGCTCTGATGCTTCCGCCAGGAAAAGGTTTATGCCGGGACTTCCGGCTCCGCAGAGACTGCTTCCGTCCGCAGTCCCCGAGAGGGAAGCATCACATCCTGAGGTGGCGAGGATGCAGAGCAGATTCGATGCCGCGGGTGCCAAGTTCGCTAAAAGAACCAAACATGTTTCTTGGGACGCGAAGGAGACTGAGGAGAAGAATTTTGCTTTATTTAAGTGGCTTAAGATCATTGAGCGAGGGCCGTGGGACTTTGCTGTGTCTCGCGATTTCTTGAGGGCACGCTTGTTGGGGCTCGGTGCTGGTGATCTTCTTGAGAGTATTTCGAATGCTCTTGCTGCAAAGAGCACTGCGACTCTGCGTACGAGAGCCGGTCCGATGATCAGATATTTGGCTTTCTGCGACCTTGAAGGTATTGAGCCCTTCCCAATCAGAGAGGAGGTCATGTATAAGTTCTTCTACGACATGCAGGCGCAGGTAGCAGCGACATTCTTCAAGTCTGTGCTTGCCTCGCTGGCTTTCGGCCGCTTCGTGTTGGGTCTTGACAGTGCGGTGCTGGCGCTGGACTCTTTGAGGGTGAAAGGGCTCGCCAGAAAGCTGTACTTGGGCATCAGGCGACTGCAGCAGAGGCCTCCACTTCGAGTCAAGGATGTTATCAGGCTTGAGCTGATTTGCACAGGCGATGTGCCTCGCTCGGCCCTCGATGTGGTAATGGCAGGCTTCATCCTCTTCATGGTTTTCTCTCGAGCCCGTCACTCTGATGCCCAACATGTTTGCTCGTTGGCTTTCGAGCTTGACTTCAGGGGAGATCTTCCTGCGGGTTTCATCAATGCGGAGGTTAAGAAGACCAAAACTAGCTTCACGGTGGAGCGGAAAACAAAATTTCTACCCATGCTGGCGCCGGCGCGGGGTCTCAGCGGCAAGTGCTGGGCATCAGGATGGAAGGCGGCGCTCAAGAAGGTGGGCATCACGGCAGGGGAGGGGAAACCTCTCATGCCCTCACCCAAGAGTGGGGGAGGATGGAACGTGATCCCACAAACTGCTCAGGCTTCAGGGCAGTGGATGCGAGCTCTGCTCAATGATGGCACTGATGATCCCTACTTGCTCGGGCTGGGGACGCACTCGGCCAAAACCACACTTTTGTCGTGGCTAAACAAGAAGGGTGTTGCTCGAGATGTCACTGCATTGTTGGGATACCACGCAACAAAGGATGCTGGCATAGGTACTGAGATCATCTACGCCAGGGATGCCATGGCATATCCCTTAAGAGTCTTGCAGGAACTCGTCGATGAGGTCCGTGATCGTTCTTTCAGGCCCGATGAGACCAGAGGCCTTATGACGGCCGCGGAAAGGGAGGCTGCAGGAGTTCGTGACGATGCAGGCGCAGATTGCTCATCGTCCTCCTCTGAGGATGAGGAATGCCCGCGCCATGATGAGGGTGCTGAGGGACGAGTTTTGGGCCCGTGGGCCGGTCGTGTAGATAGATCTAAGATTCCTGGTGAGGCGGTCATGGCTAGGAACGAGACCTCGCGAGTTTTGCACATTTCACGTGAAGAGCAGGCCACCGCTTTCATTTGTGGCCGAAAGATTACGGCTGCCTATGAGGTGTGCGATGCACACCCATCCGTTTTGTATCCAAGGTGCAAGCAGTGCTTCAGAAGCTTTCTGGAATCAGTTAATGCGTGAGGTGCTGCGGGCTGAGGACGTGGACAATCCAAAGCTTCGAGCGCATGCGCCTTGCAAGTCCATGATGACATGCTGTGGCGGTGCCCTGCAAGTTCAAGTGTGTATTGCGTCTAGCACCACCAGTCCTGTGCGTGCGTCTGGAGCCAGTTGTCTTGCAGAAGTTGCAGTCCTTTGGCACGCTGCATTTGGCACTTTAATGATGTCTTTGAACGTGCGCCCATGGGGCGGTTTGGCCGGAGTGGCAGTGCATGCGAGCCGGTTGGGCAGCAGCTGTGCAAGAGATAGGGACTGTGTGAGCCATGGCTTCATACACGGAGTCGGAGCCGGTGTCCAACCGATGTGAGACCGTTGGCCTAGGCGGTGAGGCCCTGACCAAATTGAAGGCTGCCGGAATCAATACCCTTGCTAAGGTGGCATTCGTTTCGTCTTACGCGCCAGGCGCTGCGTCAGATTCCGAGCTCATTAAGGTCCTCAATGAAGCACTTGGGAAGGAGAGTGATGCAGGCCAGAAAGCATCCTGGCGCAGGCTATTCCATGAAGCTTATGCCGTGGCTACTCAAGAGCTTAAGACGATGGCCGAGCGGCCAGATGAGGCAGGGCCAAGGCGTCTGTCACAGCCAGAGAGAGCGGAGAGGTACCGAATGATCAAGGCATCTGTTTCAGGGATCGATATCAAGGATCGGAACGAGCCGAGCGATGCATTGCTGGACTTGTGTGTGGGCATCTACGAAGGGAATCGCCTTCGCTATGTTTCTTGGGATCGTTGCACATCCAAGTCCCAGGAGCTCTCGAGTGAGGCGAAGCGTGACAGCATGCTCACTGTGGATTCCCAGGGGCGCTTGAAGGCTGAAGCTAAGAGCGATCACATTAAAGCTGACACGAGTTCGGAGATTTTGTTGCAGTTCGCACTCTTGCGAAGAGGTCTTGCATTGGAAATGTCGAACTTGCTCGACTTTCGTTTGCATCGCAGGTGGGCCGAAAAATTGATAGAGACAAGGATGGCCGCCCAACTCGACACGCATTCGCAAGTGTCTTTCGCCCAATTGGAGGCGGCGGACCAGAAGTTCTTCCAGGAATTAGCGGACAGGACTCGCGATGGAGTCCAGGCCACCGCCCTCGGTCGCCCGTTGGACGACTGCTTCGACGAAGTTTTCAATTTGCCAGAGGTCACGCGTGTGATGCAGCCGCTGCCTAAGCCTAGCGGTCGTGTGGAGCCACCTCCGAAGCCGCGCTGGAGCCCGTATGATCGTCCCTCAAAGGGTGGTCGGAAAGGCAAGAGCCCAGGCACAGGTAAAAGCACGCCAAGGATGCCCAGGGAGCTTGTTGGCTGCAAGGCATGCACCAATCGGGGCGACCCAATCTGTTTTGGGTATGGCTTGAAAACTTGCTCTGAGCAAGTGAAGGGCGGTCGCTGCCCAAAGGGGCTGCACGTATGCGCCGTCCCGAAGTGCGGGGGCGCGCATCCAGCACTTGACTGCCCACAGTATGCGGCCCTGAAGAAGGCCGGGTCTTGACTCCAGGTGGGTCAAGATGAGATGGCGGCGATGCCATCAGTGAAGGGAAGTGGGCAGCTCGGAGTGGGCTCGCCCAAGCGAGCGCGGTCAAGGGACCGTGCTACCGCACAAGCTGTTGATTCGGCCGAGGGGTCGGATTCTGAATCCTCAATTTTCGCTGCTGAGCAAGTAGCTGCAGAGCCTATACTTTGTAAAGATCCTGAGCAATTTTCTGCTGCCGCATCACTTAAGAAGCCTTTAGATCTCAGAGATGTTGTGACCTTGTGTGATTTGCTGGAGAGTGAAATCCCGGCAAGAGGGAACAATTCTGATGACGAGTTCAGCTGGAGCACAGGGGCGTATGTGCATGGAGGTGTTCACGGATGCCGACAACATATGCATCAGTTCCCAGTGACCTCCGCATTCCTTGCGAAGGTCTTCAAGGAATACCACCCGAGGCTTCCAGTGACATCTTTGTCTTTGACTCGCAATGTGCGAACAGCCTTGCATCTGGATGCAAACAATGCATTGGGCTATCTGAACGGCTTGATTAAGGTTTCGGGGTTTAGGGGAGGGGGTTTGTGGGTCCAGGACGCAAGCGGGGACACCGTGTGCCCCACCGATCCTTTTCTTCTGGGCTCACACCTCGACTTCAAAGACTCCACTCTTGCCTTTGATCCGCATAAGAAGCACCTTACATTGCCTTGGACGCAGGGCCCACGTATCGTTCTAATCGGTTTTGTGGTCAAAGCCCCCGCTGAGGTTCCAGATCAAGATGCCGAGATGCTGCTTCGAGCCGGTTTCAATTTGCCATGTCAGGATACAGCGACTTCTCTGTGTCAGCTTGGATCGCATAGTACCTTCTCTGGACTGTCTTCAAGATCCTTAGTCCCGAAGGCAAAGAGCTCCCGCGGAGCTCCTCTTGCGATCCAACTTTGCGCCGGGTCAGGCCTTCTGTCAGCTTCCGTCAAAGCTGCAAACATAGACACTTTGGCGGTTGATTGTCACGGGAATGTACCTCGTGACGAGGAACGAGTTACGACTATGTGTGCTAGCTAACCTATTACTACTCGAAGCTATCGAAGGTAGCTTCGCTAGAAACGAAGTTTCGTTCGCTATCGTCGTCCGCAGGAGAGTTGCCTCTGACATGCGAAGACAGGATAGCAGTGACTTGGAATGGCTACGACGGTGCGTGACCGTTGCCATTCTGGTTAAAGTCCCCCATCAGGGGGGGTAATTTTGAAGTAGAGGGGGATAGAAGGGGAACTTGGCTACCTAGCCAAGCGAGAATGGCCTCCCCGAGCTCCCCTCCTGCTTCGCGGACGGCTAGTCCCCAGTCTCCGGCTACTACGGTGATCCCGGCTAGTCCTGGGGGCGAGGAGCCAGGGAGTCCAACCGTCTTGCCCACGGCGGAGCCGGATGGGCAGGACGTTGGGCCGGCTACTCCCTCCGGAGGGATTGGGACCCCCATTGGTCTTCCGTCCTTGTTGGATAGCGCTCTTGTACAGAAGCGTGCGGTGCTGGATAGATGCCATGAGCATCTGGCGTCGCGGGGCTTCGGTGTGCTTGAGCTGGCTACCCTCGGTCTAGAGGACGCGGAAGATATTGGGCACCAGGTGGCTGAGGAGCTGGGCGTTGGCTACGACGAGTACATCGGCGACTCGATCTACCTGTGGATACCCGGCAGATAGAGATATGCTAGGACGCTGGAAGCCCGAGGGCTCGGATACCTACATCCGCTCCTATGGCGGAAGGGTCGCCCGGCTCCAGGCTATCTACGCAGAGGCGGCTAGAGCTCGGGACCGCGAAGAGCAGCTAGATGAGAGGGAGATTGCTGGCGACCTGGGAGGCTGGCTTTTCCGGACTGGCAAGGCTAGCGAACAGGAAGCTGAGAAGCTTTCGGGAGAGCTGCGACGAGAATGGGCTAGCGAGCGCATCGTGGAGAAGGTGGCTGGTCCTGGGATACCTGAAGAAGACGTGGCGAGCGATCCTCCCGAAGATAGACCCGACTCTTCGGCTAGTGAGCCGGAGCTGGGACCGGAACCGAACCGGAACCGGCCGAGGCAGCTCCTTAAGAAGGCTAGGTGCACGAGCTATATCATAGTTGAGCTTCCCGGGAAGAAGTACAGGCTACACAAGGGGGGCCAAGCCGGGTGCTGGATGGGCCGCCGGAGGATATTTAAGAACTCCCAAGAGTTTTCGGCGAGGCCCGAACCCAACCAGTACACGCATGTCTGTAGGCTATGCTGGCCAAAAGGCCGAGGCGAAGAGGCCCCGTCTGGTGATAGCGACACCTCTCAGGCTAGCACCGGCGACCAGAAGCCGGAGCAGGGAGAGGAAGAAAACTTCGGAGAGGCACCAGCAGCAGAGCTGCAGGGAGCACCTCCGGGGATAGTACCCCAGTTGCCGATTGCACCGTTGCCGGCTATCCCGTTCGGCTGGGGACCGTTTTTTGCCTGAAGGGATAGAAACGCCGGGAGGGCAGCGGGGTGGGACAACGGGGGGATACGTCCGGGGGGGCCTCTGGGGATATACTCTTTCCTTCCCATCTCTCCGGGGGCGGCGGGCCCAGGGGGAGAAAGAAGGGGAGAGAAGAGAGGAGAGAGAGAGGAGAGAATCACGTTGTTGCACTTGCTTTCTTGTTGCCGCGGCTACTGTGGCTAGGGTGGAGTAACGGACCACCAGCTTTTAAGGAGAGCCCACGCTAGGTGGGCGAGCCTGCGTGCCTTCGGGCCGGCTAGCGGCACATGGCTACTGCCCCTAGCTGGGCAGACCAGACAGAGTCGGCTAGCGTCCAGGCGCAACGGATAGAGGTGCTACGCCTCCTAGAGGAATGGCTAGAGACTGACCCGTCTAGCTTGGCCGAACAGATATACGATCGGCTAAGTTTGGATAAGCAGCACGAGCTTCTCCAGCTAGTGCGAAAGGCTAGAGACATGAGGCTAGCCGAGTGCCAGGAAGGAGCTAGCATACAGCCTGGCGGCCGGCTATCGGCCAGGCTACTCAAGTTCCAAGGAGCTAGGTCTTGGGACGATATCTCTGCGGAGCTCGAGGCTAGCCTGTCCACCACCGGGGCTAGGTACCTGGAGCAGAGGATAGAGAAGAACCGGCAGTTGGCCGGGCTACGACCGCACCGTCCAGGAGAGACCCTGGAGGAGGATAGCGTCACGGATAACGAGCTGGAGGCTACACCGTGGCAGGGGGAGGTCCCCGAGGCTACCAGATCTAGCGCCGGGGCGCCACCCGAGCGGCTAGACATGCTACACGAGATGATGGCTAAGCTCAAGGAGGTAGAGGCGGAGGTCCGCGGCACGGCTACCCCTGTTGCTAGGCAAGAGGAGCCCCACCCTGGGGCAGAGGAGGCCAGCACAGAGGATAGCGCCGCGGCGAGGCCCCAGAAGCCGGCTAGGGACCCGCCGACGGTCCAAGAGTCCAAGGCTAAGAACAAGCTGCGGCAGAGCGCAGCGGATAAGGAACCGACGGCTACCACCCTGCCGTTCTCGGCTGGGCTAGACCCGGCCCAGGTCGTCAACCCGGGTCCGGGGCTACAGCAGGCTAGAGCCGCAGCGGCAGAGACCACGGCTACACCGCTAAGGGCGAGTACGGAGTACCCTGCCCAGGGCGAGAGCTTGAAGAAGTTTTTGGCTGGATGTCTGCAGGGCTACCGTGGCCCGCCGGAGGACGTCCCGGCCTATGTGGCTAGGATGGAGGAGGTCTTCCGGATAGGCACCTTTCAGGACGGACCGGATAGCAACCAGGCTACGCAGCAGCAGCGGCGGCCGCGCAAGGGCGAGCCGGGATATGATCCCTTCCCGCCCTTGAGGCCGCAGGCTAAGAGCACCACCAAAGGACGCGGTGGGGATAGCGACCGTGGCTACATCCACCCGGATAGCAGCCACCCGCTGGACAGAAGGCTAGGAGCGGGCCGATACAACGAGGCCCAGTGGGAGGCTATGGCCGGTGACGGCCGGATAGCTCCGGAGAGGCCCGCGCTCCAGCAGGGAGCGGCGGTGAACATCAACCTGGATAGGCCCACCGAACGGCTACTTCGCGAAGAACCCGAGGTGGTGCACCGGATAATGGCGCCCCCGCCGGCTAGTCAAGCCAAGGGGCGACCACTCGGCCCGGATAGCGGCATGATCGACCAGACCTGGCTATATGTGGCTAGGGCCCAGTGGCCCCTGGGGAGCTACGAGAAGGGCGGTCGCCAGGATAGAAGGCTATCGCAGTTGTCGGATAGAGGCCGCGATGTCAGCGGCAAAGGGGCGATACACGACCCCAACTGGATATACAAGCTAGAGGATGAGGACTTCATCGCGGTTAGCACCCGGTCCGGCTACGCAAAAGAGCTAGCAGAAGCGATCCCGGAACAGGGATGGATATTGTGCAGGCCCCAAGGGGCTACCCCTGGGGTAGGCCGATGGGAGCCTGCCGGGGCTATCTTCAGATGTATAGTGGTCTGTGATCACTGTCGGCTAGAGCAGTGCAACAAAAGGATGTGGTACTGCCTGGATACGCATGGGGATAGAGGCCATACGTGCAATAGCTGTCGGCCCCCGTCTGGCTATGGTGGCCCGGCGAAGGGAGCTGGCAGGGGCCGAAAGGGTCCGGGCTAAAGCACGGTCGTATGGCTAGATCTCCCAGACTTGCGGCTAGTGACGAAAATAGCGGATAGTGTGTGGACCTCACTTCATGTCGGCTAGTGCTTCCGTTTGCCAGAAAGAAGAGAGTGCCAGGCTAGGTTTTCCCAGGGTACGTGAAACCTCGGACGGGGGGGGGGGGTCGGCCTCTCGGGTCTCGGGGGGGGCACGGGGGCCCGGGGTCTCGGGTTGATACTCCTTCCTTCCCATCTCTCCGGCTAGGGGGGGGAAAGCCCTGCTGAACGGCCACATGGCTAGAGCTTTTGATTTCAAGAACGACAGTAGCCGAAAGGTAGCTAGCCCGTTGGCGGGCTAAATCCAGAATGGCTTCCTTGCCCGACCCAGCGGAGCTAGCGAAGGGCTCCACGGATTTTCGCTACCTTTTGACCCAGAATCGGGTCCCGGATACCTCCCAGGCTACCTTGTTCAAAGCCGGGATAGACACGATAGCGAAGTTTTCGGCGAGTTTCAAGGACGAAGCCGACCTCAAGTCGGTGCTAGCCAAGGACTTCTCGATAGAGCCAGAAAGCTCACTAACAAACAGGGCGCTAGCGGCTGCCTTCGTGGTTGCATGGAGAGCCGCGCAGGCCAGAACCCGCGAGCAGGCGGATAGAGAAGCGGCTAGCGAGGTCCGGGAATGGGCTAAGCCCATCCCCCAAACGGAATACATGGCTATGCGCCAGTCCTTCTCACAGAAGTTTGGCGAGCCCGAGGATAAGCATATTCCGGCTAAGGAATATATTGAGCGAAAGCTGCACGAGCTAGAGACGGGCGAGTTCAGGGCGGAGCCCCTGAACGAGGTGCTGTCCAGAGACGAGATAGACCCGGATGTGCTAGTCCCCCAGTGGGATAGCAAAGGCACCGCCCTCGTGCTCAAGAAGGCTACCTCGAAAGGGGCGATGCCATCCGGACCGGAGCAACTACGGCTACGGCTAACAGTCATGCAAAATGCACTCCTCAGGATAGGTCTCCAGCATCCTGGGCGAGCAGAACTCAAGGATATCGACTTCCAGCTCTTTGAGAAATACAAAGACTATCTGCTTGGCGATTTTTGCTATGGGCTACGGTCCAACGAGGCTAGCGGAAGTCTGGCGCCTCCGTGGACCCTGGTGCTTTCCTACGAGAACGCTATTCGGAAACAGGCCTACAAGCAGATGGTCCTCAAGGGGATAGCTTTCGCGGACGCGCTAGTCCAGTCCTGGAAGGATGCGGCTACCAAAGAGCGGCACTTCACGACCCCGTTGTCCCTCTGTGCTAAAAGGCCACAGCCCTGGAACTGGGATAGCACCAACAACCCGCTGGCTAAGCCCAACAAGAAGGGCAAAGGCAGAGGCAAGGGCAAGGACGGCAAGGATAGCAACAAGAAGACCAAGACCGCTACCTTCCACCGCACCGAGGACGATAAGCCGATATGTTTTCGGTTTAACTTGAAAGGTGGCTGCAAGAAAGGGGATAAGTGCCACTTCGTGCATGTTTGCACGAAGTGTCGGGGACCGCATTCGGCTATCAACTGCCCCGGCACGGCTACGCCGTCGGCCTCGACAGCGGCCAACTGACTACCGGCGCCTGAGACGGCTACAGTGGCTCCACCAGCGGCGACACCTGCACACCGGCGGCTAAAGGCTCTCTACCTCTTCTCGGGAAGAGAGCGGCTAGGCAGTTTCCAAAGCCACCTCCGCCGGCTAGCTTCTTCCTTCGAGCTCGACATGGATATCTGCTGTGTGGATTCGGCGAGGAGTCCGCCCATCGACCTGGCTACTTCAAAGGTGAGGGCGAGCTACCTCCACAAAGTCCAATCGGGCCACTACGACATCGTGGCTATGTCTCCTCCTGCGGCGACCTTTTCCCGGGCGAGCTCGGCTAACCGGAAAGGTCCCCGGCCAGTCCGAAGCTTCGACGAGCCCAGAGGGTTGGCTACACTCACGGCCAAGGAGAGAGACCGGGCTATTCTTGGCAACATTTTTGCTGATTTTTCTTTTGAAATAGCTAGTGCGGCGGTTTCCTCGGCTACCTTCTTCGTCCTGGAGCAGCCAGAAGACCTCGGGGCTATGCCGGCAGGCCCGCACAAAGGCCGGCGACCAGCCAGCATGTGGCAATGGGAGGCTCATGCACGGCTAGTGGGCCTCGGGCTACGTTCGGTGGCCCTGCACCTGGATAACTTCGGAGCCCCCTCGGCGAAACCGACTCGACTGCTACTGAAGACGCCGCTGGAAATGCCGGCTACCGTGCACGAGGGCCTTCCCTCTTTCGACAATGACGGCTACTACTTGGGCCCCTTGCCGAAGACGGCTACTTCTTCGACGCCAAAGAGTCCCATGCTGGCTAAGGAGACGCTTGGCGAGTGGCCCTCGAACTTCTGCCGCTGGCTAGCACAGCTAGCCCTCGCAACCTGCACGGCTACTGCTCCGACTGCCTCCGGAGAGGGGGTACCGACTGTGCAGGATAAGGCGAATTCCGGCGACCTCGACTATGTTACAAACCAACCAGAGGGCCCACGGCTACATGGTGGCACAGGACCCCCTCGCCGATGCCATCAAAACGACGGGATAAAGGAGTTCCACGACGGTGGCGGGCTATGCTCTCCTGGGCGCTGGCCCCGACACTCTCGTGGACATGCCGCGGGCGAGTCCTGGGACTGGCTAAGGGCTAAGATCCGGGAGATTGTGACCAGGCGAGTGGGATCCGAGAATGAGCTGGAGAAGGAGGCCTTCCGAATGGCTATGGGAGGCGAGTCTGCCTGCAAGCTCGTCCGGGATAGCCAACTACACGAGGAGCTATTGCAGCTCCTGCAAGTGTGGATAGAAGGTCAGGACCTCAGCGAACCGGGTCTATTGGATATTCCGCCTGGACAGCCCCTCCGCCTACGGCTACTTCGTGCGATCCTTGAGGCGGCAGGAGATCCGGATAGGGACTTCCTCCGTCGGGCCGAGGAGGGACTCCCACTGGGGATACTGGAGGGGCTACCCAGAACACCGCACGTGTTCGAAGAGCAGTCCTCCTGGAGGCTAGACAACGCTCCTTGGGAGCCGGCGCTAGCATGGGTCCCGAACTATGCCTCGGTTAGCGACCACAGGGACTTTGTGCGGGCTAAGTTCGACGAGGACGTCGAGGAAGGCCTCATGGAGAGGATGACCCTCGGCGAGTTCAAGGCGAGGTTCGGCGAGGACCGGGCTATCGCCTCCCTAGCCGTGATAGTCGAGGACGAGGAGAAGGATAAGAAGCGGATAATCCACGACGCGACCCACGGCGTCCGGGTGAACCACCGGATACGCTGCCGAGATAAGATCCGGGCGCCAGGGGCTAGAGAAAAGAAGCAGATCCTTCGAGAGCTGATACGCTGTGGCGAGATTGCCTTCTCGGTCGTGGGGGATATCTCGAAGGCCCATCGGAGATACAAACACCAGGCTAGCGAGCACGGCTTCATGGGCTGCCAGATAGACACCGAGGAGACGATCCCCGGGGACCCGGATAGCCAGATCGTCTACGTCAACAAGGTGGGCACGTTCGGACTCTCGCCGGCTAGCTACTGGTGGACCCGGATAGCCGCATGTGGGATACGGGCAACCCATCACCTGTTGGGCCCCGGCTATCCCATCGACCTCCTTCTATATGCCGACGACCTCGAGGCCCTGGGGATAGGAACGGAGGGGAGGAAAGGTATCCCGTTGAGCTACCTTTTCCTCTCTGTTCTGGGGTATCCTTTCAAATGGGCGAAGACTCGGGGTGGCTATAGGGTGGAGTGGCTGGGAATGGAGACAGAGTACTCCTCCTACAGGCTAGGGATGTCCAAGAAGCGAGCGTCCTGGCTATCGGCTTGGCTAAACGACAAGGTGACCGTCGGCAAGGTCACGGCCAAGGAGATGCAGCAGGGGCTAGGTCGGCTGGGCTTCGCTGCGATAGCCTTAGATTGGCAGAGGCCCTTTTTGGGGCCGCTCCACGCTTGGAGTGCGGCTATCCAAGGGAAGTCCGGCTACCTCATCATCCCGACGATGCTCCGGGTGCTGATGCGGTGGCTAGCCGACAAGCTTGACCAGGGGGAGAGGCTACAACGTCCCGTGACCCTCTACGCCGGGCTACCTCCACTGAGCTTTTTCACGGATGCTAAAGCTGAGTCCGATAGGGCCTGGATAGGTGGCTTCCTGGAGATTTCCGGAGGGAAGCCAGGTCCCTGGTTTTCCTTAGAAGTGGATAGGGCCTGGGCTCCGTGGGCCTTTGCCAAAGGCGACCCCAAGAAAGTGATAGCTGCGCTAGAACTGCTAGCGACCCTCGTGGGGATACGTCTCTGGGTCCCCGAGGGCGAGGATAGGAAGACCTCGCGAGTGGCCATCCGCGGCTATACGGATAACAAGTCCAATGAGGCACTTGTGAAGAAGGCTATGACGACCAAGTATCCCTCCATGCTAGTTTTAATGGAGATAGCAGAAGAGCTATCCCAGAAAAACTGTGAGCTACAGCTCCAGTGGATACGGAGAGACATCAACCAGCTAGCGGATGACCTCACGAATGAGGAGTTCAAGGAATTCGATCCCTCTCAGAGGATAAATCTGAAGGGAGAGGAATTCCAGTGGCGTGTTCTGGGCCGGCTACTCGCGCATGCAGATAGCTTCTACCAGGAGCTAGGCACGCGAAAGCGAGGGACCCCGGATAGGGTGTCCAAGTTTAGCCGTAAGGCCAGAAAGCTAGATCCCTGGTAGCCTGAGTGGCGATGCTTGGGGATAGATGGCCGAAGGCTATCAGTTATCTCCAGGCAACCTGGGATAGTTGCCACTCCAGACAAAAGAACGTCCGCGCTAGCCGTGTTGCTTGTTCGTTTGGTCGTCGCTCGGCTAGCTCGCTAGCTATCTACTTTTGTACTACTATCGTCCTGGTGGAGATCCGGGGATGGTGGTGGGATATAGGAGCTAGTGCACGTACCTCGTGACGAGGAACGAGTTACGACTATGTGTGCTAGCTAACCTATTACTACTCGAAGCTATCGAAGGTAGCTTCGCTAGAAACGAAGTTTCGTTCGCTATCGTCGTCCGCAGGAGAGTTGCCTCTGACATGCGAAGACAGGATAGCAGTGACTTGGAATGGCTACGACGGTGCGTGACCGTTGCCATTCTGGTTAAAGTCCCCCATCAGGGGGGGTAATTTTGAAGTACCCACCCTGCCCACCCTGGGATAGATGGCCGAAGGCTATCAGTTATCTCCAGGCAACCTGGGATAGTTGCCACTCCAGACAAAAGAACGTCCGCGCTAGCCGTGTTGCTTGTTCGTTTGGTCGTCGCTCGGCTAGCTCGCTAGCTATCTACTTTTGTACTACTATCGTCCTGGTGGAGATCCGGGGATGGTGGTGGGATATAGGAGCTAGTGCACCGAGCTAGGCCTTATGTGCATGTTGTCGGTACTTGACGACCGTTCTTGAAACCAGACAAGTTGTTCATGTACATGTGACTCCCCCAGCTGGGACCACGCGACGATCGCGTGCAAAGCAGTCGCTTCGAAGTGCTTCCCACCCGTGGGGTGTGCCAGGTCAGGATTCGTCTGTGTTGGCTCGTCTCCAGTCGGCCAACCGCATCTTTATTCAGCTGGGAGCCTTTTTGCTTCGGGCTCGGGAACTTGGGGTGGCGTTCTCGCTTATGCACCCCATGTCCTCTTGGCTTTGGGAGCTGCCTCCCTTCGCCGACCTGCTCAAGGTCTCTTCTGAGGTACCAGTGTATCTGATGTCTGACTTGCACAGGCTCCAGCATTTTCGCTTAGTGTACACCTTGTGTGACCTGTCATCGCTTGCCGCGGCTGACAGAACCGATGCCATGACGCAGAAACTCTTCTGTGATCGTTTTGCTGCTGCCTTGTCCACTCAGGTTGCTGCCTCGGGTTTAGGCCCCTCCCCTCTTAGGCTCCCCTGCGGTGCAAAACCAACCGAAGGCATCCAAGCTGCCACCGCTTGTGCCAGAGTTTGCCTACACGCAATGTTTGACGTGTGAAGGCCCTCCACCTTTGGATGCCAAGAAGCAGCTCACGCATCCGTGGAATGGCGTTCCCAAACATGCCCGCCTCCTGCGCTCTTCCACTTCCGAAGGGGGGGCGACTGAGGAATCCGCGCAGCAAGCGACCAACATCTCTTCGCAGAAGCCTCGCCATACTGAGTATGTGTTCGGTGTGTATCGCGAGCCGGTGCAATTTGTGTATCAGGCTGTCGCACTTCAGCATCCGTTTGATGCCGCCAGAGCTCTTCCGGATAAGCTTGTTCGTGTGCTCTTTGCCACGTTGACCAAAGGTCCCTTATGCATCATGCGAAACAGGTTACTCCTGCTGCAAAAGTGGAATCAGTGGGCAAAGGACCTTCGCTCAGATGAAGCCTCTCTCCAGGCCTCCCTGCATCCTTCGGTCCGCAAGGTTCTTCAGGGAAAGAAGCTGCTCCTTCTTGACAAGATTGCAAGATCACTTGACTGGCCCGACAAACACCTGCATCGTGACCTGTGTGCAGGGTTCAAGTTGTCAGGTGTTCCTGATCCTACAGGTGTTTTTGAGCCGGACCACAAGCCTGCCTTGTCTTCAGAGGAGCAATTCTGGGACGCTGCCGAAGTTTTGAAGCATCAGCTTTGGGCACGGGTGAGGGAGCAGCCGGCTCAGGAGTACGACGCGGAGCTGGCCGAAATCACACTGGGCGAAACCGATGTATCTGGAGGAAAAGGATGGCTCGAGGGTCCTTTGTCATTCTCTGAGCTCCAGGATCGCTTTAAAGGCCAGTGGATGCCGTACCGAAGGTTCGCTGTATGGCAAAACAAGTGGAGGCCCATCGATGATCTTAGCGAGTCGGGGCTCAATGCAACATTTGGCTGCCATGAGAAGATTCCGCTTAGGGCTTTGGACGAGGTGGTCTGGATTTGCACAAAGATAATGCAGGCTGCCTCTGCTAGGGGCGATGTCACGTTGCAACTGAGCTCGGGCGAATCCTTGAAAGGCAAGCTGCATGAACATTGGGCCGACAAGGAGAAGATCAGACCTGTCACTACAGCATTTGATCTTAAATCCGCTTACAAACAGCTTCCTCTTGCACCGGAGGAGCAAAGTAAGGCGATAGTCACCATTCGACATCCGTCGCAGACCGAGCCGTCCGGCTACATATGCCACACTCTTCCTTTCGGAGCCTGTGGATCTGTTCTTCACTTCAACAGAGTCTCGGCTCTGCTGAGAAGGATTATGCTTGAGATGGAGATCTTGACGGCGCTCTACTATGACGACTATCCAGTAGTGTCGCCATGCCTCCTTGGCAACAGCACGGCTGCAGCCTTCACTTCAGTAATGCGCCTTTTGGGGTTTAGGATTGCTGATGATAAGGATAAGCCTTTTTCGACGCGCTCGGAAACTTTGGGAGTTGTCATAGACACGTCGGCTGAAGATATGTCGGGCGTGTCTGTGTGCAACAAACCTTCGAGGTCGCAGGCCATCGCCGTTGCCATTGAGGAGATTATCACCAGAGGGCACGTTGCACCTCGTGAGTTGCCTTCTTTGTTCGGCAGACTTCAGTTCGCCGAGGCACAGATCCTTGGCAGGATGGGCAGGTTGGCAATTCACGATCTCAGAAGCCTTGAGAGGTCTTCTGCTGCGCGCGTCAACCTCACAGCTCAGCATCTTGAAGCTTTGTTGCTCTTGAAGGAGCGCGTTGTGTCCGGAGCTCCGAGAAATGTGTCCGCTTCAGTTGCGACCAGTCCTATCGTGATCTTCACTGACGGCTGCTTCGAGCCGGATGCTGCGAACCCCGCTGGGGTGGGGGGTGTAATGTTCGCTCCTTCGTCTGGTGGAGGCTTGAAGGTAAGGGCCTTTGGCTCGCTTGTTCCAAAGACGCTGCTTGAAGCATGGCACGCCAGGGGCAAGCGACACCTCATAGGCCAGGTTGAGATGTTCGCTGTCATCATTGCCAGGTCGTGCTGGGCAAACGTCCTGGACGGTGCCAGGGTCATTTATTTCGTGGATCACAGCGGTGTGCTTGCCGCCTGCATAAGCGGATCCTCCAAAGAGGATACATGGAGAAAGCTTTTGTGCGCATTCGAGAAAGCTGATTCGCTGCCTGCCATGCAGTGGTTCAGCCGTGTTCCCTCACACTCGAATATCTCTGATGGACCGTCGAGAGGTCGCTGGGAGGGCCTTTTGAGAGCTTTCCCGGAGTGCGTGATTGATGATCCTTGTTGCCCTTTGACAGGGACAATGCTTCAGCGCTTCGTTTAGGAGCACTCTTGTCAGGCGGGGCGAGCGGAGTGCTCTCGAAGCGAAGTGCTTCTTTCTTGTGGCGATGTGCCACGTGGTGCGTGCGGCATGCACTTGGAAACCCCGTTTGACGCTTTCGAGCGAAAAGGTCGTGAGTGTGCGTATGCCATAAAATATTGGATTGATTCTTTATTTGAGTCATTATAGAACGTCCCTAAGAGGACGACTAGATATTCGACATTTGTAAATCCAAATCAGCTTGAGCCGCAAATCGTAAGCTTCTACTCATGCTCGCATGATTTCGCTTTACGATTTGTAGGCGCTTGAGGTTTTTCTGGAAGCGCAGAAAAACTGCTGATTTTGGATTTCCGGCATTACTTGAAAGATGTTTCACGTTTCACATGCCGCACGCTGTTTGAACCATGTTATGTTGCAAAGTCTTGGCTCAGAGTGGAGCTCAAGACTCAATTTTGTTTTCCCACCCACCCAACCCTGGGGGGCGAGCGGAGTGCTCTCGAAGCGAAGTGCTTCTTTCTTGTGGCGATGTGCCACGTGGTGCGTGCGGCATGCACTTGGAAACCCCGTTTGACGCTTTCGAGCGAAAAGGTCGTGAGTGTGCGTATGCCATAAAATATTGGATTGATTCTTTATTTGAGTCATTTATAGAACGTCCCTAAGAGGACGACTAGATATTCGACATTTGTAAATCCAAATCAGCTTGAGCCGCAAATCGTAAATTTTTAGGACTGTGGAAGGCGCACGCTGCTTGGGTAACAAGTGGCCTGTCATTGAGTTAGATGATGCAGATGCCAGTGAAGAGGAGGAGGCAGCCGAAGCATTGACCGTTGAGAGCATTGCCACGAAATACTTTATTTGCATCAGTCGTAAGACGGGCCATCGCAGGTTACACTTGAACGGGCCGTGCCATGTTAAACCACATCATTGCAATAGGGTCGAGTTTGTCGAGCGCGTCACATTGGAGCAGATTGACAGCATTTGTCGTGATTGCAAGCATCGCATGAAGGAGGATCAAGGTTCCGAAGAAGACCAGGACACTAGTAGCGAGAGTGGGTCCACAAGTGACTCGAGCAGCGGCGAGGGGTGAGTTTCAGATTGAAGCATGGTGACAAATCGTTTGTTGCGGTAGGCATGTGCGGTGTATGAGGTGCGACACGTACTTGGCTGATTCGCTGTGCTGCTTTGTAGGTGCTTGCGTGAGGAAGTTTGGCTGAGGTGTCATCGCGGAAGTGTCGGCATGTTCATGATTTGAGAGCTACATGAGTTTACATTGATAGCTTTGAGTGCTTGAAGTTCTTCACGTTCTGCTTTAGGAGCCACGTGACTTTCAGTTGCCATGGGCTACCGCTGAGATTGCGGTTTCAGTCGCACAGCACCGTGCTGTTTCAGATAGTATGGCGTTGCCTAGCGAGGCAGATCAGAGAGCTGAAGTTGCCAAGATGGATTCCGACTTGCAATATGTGCTTCAGGAAGCCAGTGCGTCACTGGCCACGCAATGTCAGGTTGCACGGCTCCATCAGAGTCGTAGGCGATTCCAGGCGATCGCCGATAACCGCGAAGGTGCCAGGACAGCTGCACGTGACTTCGGGATTAATCCCGATACGCCTGCGGGCCGTGTTGAGGTGGCCGCTATAGTAGCTGCATGGGAACTTGCAAAGGAGTATGCGAGTAAAGAAGTCGAGCTTCGTGCGGAGGCGAAGGTGTTAGGCCATAGGAGGATCTTGCAAGTGCAGGAACGCCAAGCTATGTTGAAAGCGGTGACGGATGCATACGGGAAGATGAATGAAAGCGAGACGCCAAGTGCGGAGTACTTGGCAACCAAGGCCGAAGAATGCGAGAGCAACGAGCCCCTTGCGAGTTCACTTGATCGTATCTCTTCAAAGAAAGACTCGCAGGTGGAGAGCCTCCAGACTAGCATTGATCCCACCGGGCACGTTCGTGTAACAAAGACAATGCAGAAGTTGGAAATGCCGCATCACTCGGAAGGCTACCGACGTTTGATGAAGGTGGAAGCTCATGCATGGCTCTGCATGAGTGCACGGTTCAAGGCAAAGGCGTGGTTGCAAGGGCTTCAGCTGGAAGATTTTACTAAGTTTGTCGAATACATCTTGGGAGATCGTGTTGGCAACTTGAAGTTGCCCACAGCTTCTGGACAGGAGACGCAGTTCAACCGGCCGCCATGGAACATCGTCTTGAGTTATGAATATAAGTTGAGGGTTGAAGCTTTCAAAATGATCCTGGAAGGAACCGCCACCATGCCAGAGGCACTTCGGGCAGTGCGTGAGGATCCATCTTTGAAAGAGGCTTACTTTACAACGCCGCTGGCCTTGCACACAGCTGGTACACCGAGTAAGTTTCGGAAGGGCAATAGCAAAGGAAAGGATAAGACGCAAGGGCAAGAGATACCGCTGCCACCCACACCACATCAGAACGGACGTGGAGCAGGGAAAGGCAAAGGCAAGAAAGGCAAGGGCCAGGTTGTCTTGGCAAATGGAAAGCAGCTTGCGCTCGCGTCAGCGACCCCTGATGGTCGTCAGCTGTGTTATGCATACAACCACCAGGGCTGTACAGATCCGAAGTGCACCCGTGTGCATGCATGTCGTGTGGCAGGGTGTTTCGGCGAGCACCCAGCGTCGCAGCACGAAGCCGCGACAGCAGGTAAGTGACAGAGTCGCGCTCAGCAGGGGGCGCAGGGGCACAAGCTGCCGGCGTTGCTGTCAGGCCAACCTGTGGCATCAAGGGTGGTACATGTCATTGCAGATCCTGCTGAGCGCTTTGATTGGAAACCGCATCTCAGCAATAGCATGTCGCAGCCAGAATTCATTGCGTTTGGGTTTGATGCAAACAACATGTTTTGTGGTGACGCTTGGGATCAGTTGTTTGAGCTTGTGAAACAACCGAAAACCGTGATCTTGATTTCGCCACCCTATGATACTTTTAGTCGGGCGAGGCATAAGCAACCTGGGCCCACTCCACTTCGCAGTGATAAGTGGCCCAGAGGTTTTCCATGGCTTAAGGATTCGTCTATGCAGAAGGTGACTTCTGCCAATCATTTTGTCGACCAGTGTTCGAAAGCAACAGTTTTCGCGGCCGAGGCTGGCAATTTCTTTATGTGGGAGGCGCCGGAACACTTGGGCCGCACTGCGGACGGCCTCGTGCCGAGCTCCATTTGGGCTTGGCCTGAATTACTTGACTGCATACCGCGTTTTGCTGCCACGACCTTTGTGCATTACTTGTGTGAGTTCGGGGCGGACATGGCAAAACCAACACGTTACTTGAGCAATCTGCCCTTCTTTCGTCACTCGCCGCGGCCTTTCAATGGGATGCCGGTGTTGGATGCTGATCAGCGCTACGTCGGGCCGCTGCCCGCGTCGTGCCCTCATGGGGGTCATGCACCTAGCACCGGCAAATCGCAGGCTACGCAAAAGTGGAACTTGCCGCGGGCCCGCGGATGGCCCCTTCAGCTGTGTCAATTTATGGTAGCAGCCATCGACTTCTCGCTGCAAGCAGATGGGGAGTGCAAATCCTCTAAGTCGAAGGTTCCTGATAAGGTAGTCAAGGTCCCCGTAGGGTACGGTGCACGCCCTAAGGATCCACCCTTGCCCTGCGTTTCAGGTTCTTTGCCTTCAGGTTGCAGTACCGCGGCTGCTCCTCCTTCCCGCTCAGGTTGTAGTTCCCCTAGGGCCTCGGCGGTTCCTCCTTCCCTTTCTGGTTGTAGTCCCCCCGCACACCCTTTGAAGTCCTTGGGCGATCCCGAGAGTGCAGCATCAAAGCTCCTGGCAACGCCAGGGCTGCTAGAACGTCGTCGTGTGTTAGAGCTATTTGACATGCTGCCCCGCGAGGAGCCGCCTAGGGAGTCGACTTCAGCTACACCGGGCAGTTCTTTCGCAACGGGTGCATATTGCAAGGGTGGCTTAGTCGGTTTGAGGCATCATTCCACTGTGCTGCCGAAGTCTACACAGGTTCTAACAAGGTACTTGCAGCAGGTTGCACCGGGCTTTCAAGCATCAGCTATTGCGATCTTCGATGATGTCAGGACGGGGGTCCACCGTGATGCCCGGAATGCGCACTATCCGTACATGGTAGTGCCGTTGTCGGATTTTGAAGATGGCCAAATCTGGTTGGAACAGCAAGGAGGCGATGTATGGGAGACAACACCAGAAGGGCGGAGACCTGGCGTCCACTTGGAGGTTTGCAAGGGCCCTGTAAGCTTCGATGCATGGCGGTCATACCATGCTACGCGATCGTGGAAGGGCCGTCGGGTGGTGATGGTTGCATACATGACCGATAAGCTTGGCAATGTCGAGGCCACCGACCTCGCCCACCTTAAGTCCCTGGGGTTTAAGATACCACTTGACTTGGATGCATCAAATTGTGAGACTTCAGAGGTTCTGGATACTGCCGAGGGCCTAAGCACAGGAGACACAGCACCACCAGTGCCATTCAGACCAGAGGCATGTGGGAACCGCGGCAACCCCATTCGTGTTGAGTGGGAAGGACAAGAGGCTGACATGACAGACGGGTTTGGGTTGTGTTCCCCGGCGCGGTGGAGGCCGATGGACCGGGGGCATCGCCTGGGCCCAGCGGCTACTGCACATGCGCAATCCATTTACCGGATGCTTACGAACTTCATTTCCGAGCATGTTCCTGATCCCCGTCGCTTCTGCTTGAGCCTACTTTCAGGTAAGGTCGAATCATCTCCATTCGCCGGGGAGAAGTTGGAAGCTCTGCGTAAGCAGTGGGCAGAAGTACTTGGTGCAGAGAACAATCCCGACGTGCTCGAGATCCCAGATGCGCAGCCCTTCTTGCTCAGGGCCTTGTCGCTTTCGGCTGAAAGGCTTGAGGACCCAGACTGGCAGATTTTAACGGAGGGAGTCGACTGTTTCTGCACCGGGGTACCCCTAGGACTTAATTGTGACATACCGCATTTGCCGCAGGTGTATGAGAAGAAATGTCATTGGCGGAAACTTGATGAATCCGAGTTGGAGTTTGATCGGGAAAATTATAAAAGTGCCGAGTTGAGCTCCGCCGAGCTCCTCGAAAAGTTTCGTGCAGAAGAAAAACTTGGGCGGATGAAACCGACAACGCTCGGAGCGCTGCGCGAGGAGTACAGTGAGGACATGATCCGCGTGGCTTCCATGGGAGCCATCCTCAAACCAGATGGCAGTGTGCGGCCATTACATGATGGGACACACGGCGTCAATGTCAACAATCAGAGATGTCATTTTCAGTTCGGCAATCAGGTGCTATGCAGGAGATTCCCTTGGCCGCAACCGCGGACGTGAGTGCTGCACATAGGTTGGTCTTGCATCGGAAGAGCGATTGGGCCTTGATGTCATGCAGGGCAGAGCAAGGGTCCGACACGATTTGGATCAATAAAGTAGGAACGTTCGGGCTTAGCCCAGCCTCGTTTTGGTGGAGCAGGTTGTATGGAATCATAGGCAGAGTGGTCACCCGTTGCCTACTGCAGCACGCCTTTTACCACTTCGCTTATGTGGACGACGTGCATCCCACGTTTTATGGGAAGCGGATGTACATCAACTTCTTGGTTTGGTTAATCCTTCAAGAAATGATAGGGGTGCCTTTCGCTTACCATAAGTTCAAGGGAAAGACGCTGGTTGCATTCATTGGCTACGAGCTTGACTACGGTGCCAGGCTTGTGGGCCTCAGCGAAGCCCGAGGCGCTTGGGTGTGCAACTGGGTCGATGAGGCACGGAAAGCGCGCTTTGTCGTTTCAGTTAGGAAGTTTGCGGAGTTTCTTGGGAGACTTGGTTTCGTGTCCAGGGTCGTGTACTGGATCAAACCACACTTGGCCCCCTTGTATGCTTGGTCAGCTGCAGCTTCGAAGAGCCATGTTGCAAAAATGCCGGACACTGTCATCTTGACTTTGCTTTACTTGGAGGCAACGCTTAAAGACTTAAAGACATCAACTTCAAAGTCGCACCGGGTCGACAACGGGAAGAGACAGGGCATCTCTTTCACACGGACGCTAAATGCGATGATGGTTATGTCGTCTTAGGAGGTTGGGACTCTAGCCAGGACCTTCGGTTGCACCTTGGTTCTCTATAGTGGTTAAGCCTGCGGATGCCCCGTACCTTTTCGACGAAGAGGGAAAATCACAATGGGCGTCAGCTTCAGCCGAGCTGTTAGCTACATTGGCCGCTTTATGAATCTTCGGGCACCTTAAAGAGAGTAGTTCGCAGAGGCGACTCCCAGTTGCCATTGCCGGGGCCACAGACAATCAGAGCAACGAGAAGCTTCTTAGAAAACAGTCCGCGACTAAGTGGCCGCTCATGCTGATCAACATGCAGCTCTCTCACCTCTTAAGGAAAGCTTGTTTTAGACTCAGCTTGACTTGGAAACCCCGCGACGAAAACAAGTTGGCAGATGCTCTGACGAATCAGGATTTCAGCTCTTTCAGTTCCGAACACCGCTTGGATGTCAGTTTCAGTGAGCTACCACTTGAGCTCTTGAATCAGTTGTGGTTGTCGAAGTCCGACTTCGATGCGTCTCGCAAGGCGCTGCAGTCTGCAAGCAGTTTTCAGCCTCGTGTCCCGAAGAGGAAGCGCGAAGGCACGCCCTGGTGACTCAGGGAGAGGGGGCGAGGCTTCGCACACCAGGTGTGCCTGCCTTCCCTCCGACGAGGGGACATCCACCACCATCCGGGAAAAAGAGTCTTCGTCCGAGTGCCTGAATGATTGACTTTATATTCTCTTTTATATTTGTCTCTGACGGGCATATATTCGTCCACTTTTGAAAGAGCGAATTTTAGAAGGTTTAGCGTTCGGCTCAAACCTCAAAACAAGAAGGTGAAAACAGAGATGACGTGCCACTCTCGATTCACTTGCAGAATTGGCGCTCGGCTACAGTGGAACCTGCAGTTACTCGCAGGCTGCTTCAGGAGGAACTTGATCAAGGTTTTTGCTTCAAGTTTGATGGTTCGCTAGCCGATGCTCAGCGACGCTGGCCACTAGGGGTTGCGCTAGGCAAACTTTCGGTTGTTCGGCCTGGCAGATCGGAGCGGCTTTGCCTTGATAATTCAAAATGTGGTACAAACGCAAACTGTGCTGTGCCTGAAAAGCAGCACATGCCTTCAGCTCGAGATGTCTTGCACTCCTACCCTTTGCGGGAGTGCTCGAAGATTCAAGGCGCGCTCTCGATTGACATCAAGTCAGCCCATAAGCGCTGCGTTGTCAAAGAGGAAGAACAAGGATTGCTAGGGTTCACATGCGAGGAACCAGATGGCTCAAATGCCCTCTACTTCTATCGTACATGCCCTTTCGGGGCGACATTCGCCCAGCATTGGTGGGGGCGGCTCGGCTCATGCATCCTTCGCATTCTTCACACTCTCATCTACATTGCTCATACAGGCCATTTGTTTGTGGATGATTATCTCTTTTCTCAGGAGCTGTCCATTCTTCCAGCAACAAGTGCCATGATTTGCGTGTTCATGCAGATCATGGGCGTGCCCCTTTCATGGCACAAACTCCAGATATCAGTTCGGGTCACCTGGATTGGCTGGGATTTCCAGTATTCTGCAGGTATCGTGTTGCTTAAAGAATCAAAGCGCTTGAAGCTGCTGGGCATGGTGCAGGACCTGCGCCAAAACCCTCGCCTGACCAATAAGGATTTGGAACGCTTTATTGGCCTGGCACTTTGGGCTACAAGCCTTTCTCCGGTCATGAAGAGCATGCTGCATACTTTCTATCACGACCTCTACAGTCCAGCTGCCACGAACTACAGCATCCCGCCAGAGCGCTGGCATGAACTTCCAAGCTACTTGTCACCAGATTTGCATTTCACTGTGATGCCGCCAGGTACGGGGATACCGGCCAACTCCAAACTGCTTTCGGCACGTCACCAAGAATTGCACTCTCTTCGGGATCTCGAGAAGGTTCGTGTGTCAGATCGTAGGGTTTGGCTTCGGGTGTCGAGTCAAAACAGCAAGAAGCGCAAATTGAGCTTGAACTCGCTGCGCATCCTTGGCATTTACGAGCATTGGCTTTTGCATATGTCACCATTTCGCTCGGTGCGACAGCCTGCCACTCCGCTTTTCGATGCGCGAGCAGATGCCAACGCCCGGGGTTCTCATTGCTGCATAGGTGGCTATGTGCGCCACCCCTCATTAGGTCACCGCTGGTTTCAGCAAACCTTTGCTCACACTGACTTCTTGGCTTTGGGCATTGGGGTTCAAGCTGATATGGCAAGGGAGATTTCGTGCTATGAAGCTCTCGCACAGGCAGCGCTGATACTTGCGGCATCTGCCTTGCTTCCATGCAGTTGCGTCCCAATTACTCTCAGGGCTCTTTCAGATAACACAGGTGCTGAATCAGGCCTTAACAACTCCTTGACAGTCAAGTCAGCCGTTATGCTTTTTCTTGGAGCGGATTTCACTTCTTGCAGCAGTGCATAGAATCACTCCTGATGTCTCGCACATACCAGGTGAGGCCAATGATAAAGCCGATGCGCTATCTAGACCGCAAGAGCACCCCTTGCCTCTCGGTTGTTTTCAGCATGAGCGCATCTCAGCTACGCTTCAGGATCTCTGGCTGCCGCAGCCAATGATCAGTGTGTCACCCTCTTCAGTGCAGCTTCCGTGGCAAATTCGTTCCCGTGGAGTGCCCACCAACCTCACATAGTTTCGGGGTTTTTTGGCTTAGCGAGGTTGCTGGGTAGTTCTTAATTGGTGCGGTTGGACCACCCATCAACCTCGAATAGCTGGCTTGACTTGCGGCCCGGACTTTGTGGGCATACGGCACTCCAGGAAAAGGCAGCCCTTTCTGTCGAGAGTTACACTCCCGGAACACCAGTTAGCATATGGACCCGGGGACAATTAGACAATTAGACAAATGACCCGGGATCCCGGGTCATTTGTCTAATTTCATCCCGGGCCAAAAACAACGCAGTTAGCATATGAGTTTTCCCGGGTCCCAACAACCGCAGTTAGCATATCCCGCACCGCAGTTAGCATATGGTCCATGCCAGGAATGTGAGCTTTTTTTGGTGGTGGGAGGGCGCGAGTCGGAGGAAGTTCTGGTAATTCTGGAGGTTTTGCATGAGCGGGGGACAAATTCAGAAGAGTTGATGGAACTTGCGCCTCTGTTTGTGTTGTGCAACTGTACAGTACTGTACAGTATGGGCATATCCGAACCGCAGTTAGCATATGGTTCTTGCCAGGAATGTGGGCTTTTTTTTTGAGTAGGAGGGCGTGAGTCGGAGGAAGTTCTGGTAATTCCGGAGGTTTTGCATGAGCGGGGGCAAATTCAGACGAGTTGATGGAACTTGCGCCTGTGTTTGTGTTGGAGATGAGGGGGGCAGAAGAGGAGAGTGAGACAGCAAAGGGTAAAGGTCTACTGCACTGTACGGTAGCGTATGGTACAATAGTACAGTACTGTACTGTACTACAACCTTTAACATTGTGTATCGGATGCCCCGAAACCGCTTTACAGTACATAGGCCGGTGTATCGTCCTACCATCTTTGTGCAGGCGACGAAATGAAGGTGTATTGGATGCCCCCAGGACCCCTGTACAGTAGAGGCAGCAGAAAAACCTCAACGCTTCTTGTATAATTTCTGTTGTCCAAACCTGCAAAGAACTGCAGATAGCATATATATTCCAGGCCAACCCCAACCGCCTACCCCTTTAGACAGGTGTAGCTGAGCCCCCCCCCCAGAACCGTTTAACAAGGTGTATTGGATGCCCTGTGCAGTACAGTAGAGGCAGCAGAAAAGCTTTCAACGTTTCTTGTATAATTTCTGTTGTCCAAACCTGCAAAGAACTGCAGATAGCATATATTCCAGGCCAACCACCAACTGCCTTCGAACCTACGGTGCTGTACAGTAAGCCCTACAGTACAGTGAACCCTAAACGAAGTAAAGTAGGTGTTTACTGCAGTGTGATTCTTATCGATGTTACTGTACTGTACAGTAAAAAATGTGGAAGTTGCTTTTAAAATTGAATGTCCATAAACATCAAACGCAAAATGGATTACAGTAATAGTTTTGTTTGCAGTACTCTACTGTCTTTGTATGTCATATCATGTCATACAGTATATGTGTCATGTCATGTAATTTCGTCGGTTTGTGGAGGCACGAATATGCTAACTGCACTTGTTTTATTGATATTCACTGCAGTTATGCGACAGGGAACTACCGAAGTCGTAACGCATGTCAGCAGATCAGGGCAGACCTTCGCGGAAGCGAAAACGCTGGGTCGTAACATTCCGCGGTGTAGTTGGTGATACGGGTTGCTTGCAAAAGTCCTATAGTACGAAAATTTGGTACTGGAAATACGTCGTTTGGCGTCCTGGCTGGATTGTGCTTGGTTGTAGTACAACTTTAGTAGTGGAAATGCCTCGTTTGGCGTCCTGGCTGGATTGTGCTTGGTTGTAGTACAACTTTAGTGCTGGAAATGCCTCGTTTGGCGTCCTGGCTGGATTGTGCTTGGTTCTAATACAACTTTAGTACTGGAAGTGCCTCGTGGGGCGTCCTGGCTGGATTGTGCTTGGTTGTAGTACAACTTTATTACTGGAAATGCCTCGTTTGGCGTCCTGGCTGGATTGCTTGGTTGTATGTAGTGCAGCTTTGGTACTGGAAATGCCTGCTGGATTGTGCTTGGTTGTAGTACAACTTTGGTAGTGGAAATGCCTCGTTTGGCGTATTGGCTGGATTACGCTTGGTTGTAGTACAACTTTAGTACTGGAATTGCCTCGTTAGGCGTCCTGGCTGGATTGTGCATGGTTGTAATACAACTTTAGTACTGGAAATGCCTCGTTTGGCGTCCTGGCTGGATTGTGCGTGGTTGTAATACAACTGGAGTACTGGAATTGCCTCGTTAGGCGTCCTGGCTGGATTGTGCATGGTTGTAGTACAGCTTTGGTACTGGAAATGCCTCGTGTGGCGTCCTGGCTGGATTGTGCTTGGTTGTAGTACAACTTTAGTGCTGGAAATGCCTCGTTTGGGTACAACTTTAGTGCTGGAAATGCCTCGTTTGGCGTCCTGCTGGATTGTGCTTGGTTG